CAAAGGCAAAGGCAAGGCGGCTGCACCACCGGCACAACAGGAGCCCCGGAAGAAGCGGTCGGCTGCCCCGGTAGAGAGGGGCATGTGGTCGGACAAGGAAAGCACCATCTTCGCCGCGGCGCGTTGGTTCACCAAGGACGCTCCGTGTCCGTCCATTTCGGAAGCGTCGTATGCCCCGTATTTCCTCGCACAATGCATGCCCCCGTAGTCCAGTCGATCGTCGGATTGTATCGTTGCAGCCAGTCTCGCCCCAGCAGTACACTGCAGCCGTCCAATGTCGTCGCAAGCATCTTCATGCCAAACCCGAAATTGTCGCTGCACTTCAACCGAATTTTTCGCGCTTCATCTCGAATGGCCAGCGGTGTCCCATCCACCAGCCTTGCGTCAATCTCCGGCAGACACCTGGTCAGCTTCACCCCATGTTTTTTTGCTGTGGCTAGCCCCACCGTCAACGAATATTTTTACTTTGTGACCGTTAACCCTCCCTACTACCAGCACAGGGTGGTCCACGTGTTCACCCACGTTATTCGTCCAATTGCAGTCGATAGCTCGGATCGGTACCACAACTCGGTGTGGATGGTGATTGTCGGGCGATAGGGTCTCGTCAGTAGGGCGCTCGCCTGCTACTGACTCGTCTCTTTTCCCGACCCTTCTCCGTCGTTCCTTTTTCCCTGTTTCAGCTTCGGGCAGTCTCTTTTCAGGTGGCCCAGTTGGTTGCATGCAAAGCACGGCCCAAGGACTCGGCTTGGCGCATCCACACCGTTGATCGTGGGCTGCTGCGTCGATCCACGAAATCGAGGGCCCTCTCGGGAGCTCAATCTCGCCCACTGCATCAATGCATCCGTTGACTCAGCTTCCCGGACGGCGTCATTAAAACTGCATGGCCGCGATCGTCGGACCTCATATTGAATTTCGTATTTCAGGCCCGCCACGTAGCGATCCATTCGTTCTGCGTCGCTCATATCGTCCACCTGGTCAGCCAAGTTGCAGAATGTGCTGGTGTAGTCTTGGACCGAAGTCAAATGCTTCCAGGCACGCAGCTTCATGCGGGCAGAGTCCGAGGCGGATATGTGCTCGAATCTGGCTCGCAAGGCGGCGCCCCACTCCTTCCATGTGCGTATCGTGGCCGTTCCGAAAATCGAAGCTGCTCGTTGCGTGACAGGTGTCAAGGTCCCGTTGTTCACATGTGTTGTCCCTGCCGAAGTCCCCTCGATTTGCAGCATGCGTCGCCACCACTCCAACGCAGGCCCTCGTAATAGTGAAACTGCAAAATTAATGCGGGTGGCATCATCGTTAATCATCGCAGCATTAAAGAACACCTCCGCACCAAACAACCATGCAGAAACAGTGACAAACTTGTCACTCGGGTTGAATGGGGGCGGGTTCGTCGGCTTGATCTTGACAGTTGTTGAAGCTGTCACTGCCGTTGGAACTGTCGCCGCTGCTGTCGCTGGTGCACGTGTCGGCACTGCTCGCAACTGTTGCTGCTGCGCCCGCTCTTCTTCTGCAGCATTCATAGAGCTCTCGAGCTCGCTGAAGACGGCCTCGTTCGGCGTGGAGCTACTACTTGCTTCATCCTCGACGCGTGACTCCTGGCGCGCTGCACCTCGCGCCTGGTGTAGTTCGGCGTTTTCCTTCCTCAGGCGTTCGACCTCCACAGACATCGTCTGCATGTTGGCCTGCATCGCCCGAAACTGTTGCATGAACTCGTTCAACTCTGCCTGGTCCATGTTTCGTAGGCTTCGTCGGACTGGCAGGGGGTGGTTAGCGATTTTTATGACTTTTAGTGAAGGCGCAAACACTAATGTTGTTAAAGTTTAGAAGAAAGAAGAGGATTGCACTAGCAAGAATGGGGATACAAATAGGAAACCCTAGAAGGGTTGTACTCGCTATAGAGCACCCCACTACAGGCTAGAGCATAAGATAACATTCTGACACACCCCCATAGCCAAAGTGGGGTGTAATCAGCAGAGGAAGCAAAGGAGTACAAGCTCAGGGTGGATCACAATGTCACCACACATTCTGAGCACAAGTTCAAGAAGCAATAGTTTAAGTTCACAATTATGAGCAAAGCTAGTGGTAGTCACAACGGGCAAGTGAGGAGGAGGAGAGAGAGTGAGAGGAGAGGAGATAGGAGGCGACGGCTGAAGCTGCAGACACACAGGCAACAGGAGGCAGACTGGCACAGCGGCTACCGGACGAAGTCCCCGGAATACAGGAGTAACAGGCCCCGCGGCTAAAGTAGCGGCAGACGAGCAACGGACCCACGGGCGGCTGGCACAGCTGGCTACGACTGGGCTACCGGACGAAGTCCCCGGAATACAGGTGCTGCTGGCGACACGACGGCAACCTCCATTCAGCTTCCCCAAACTATCCCACTCCCCCCTGGCACACACCCGCTGCTACACCGCTAGCTCCACTCCCCCTTCACCCCCCCTAAGTACCACTCCACCGGCTCCAACACGTCCACCCCCCCTCAGCGGCAGCTGCAGCACAGGGAGACGGAGGAGGAGGAGGAGCAGGCGACGCCACACACCTGCCACCCCCCAACCGCCACCCCCCAACCGCCACCCCCCAACCACTACCCCCCAAACCCTAAAAACAGGGTAGGGAGGTAGGGGGGGGGGGGGGGGGGGGGGGGGGGGGGGGCAACGCGCGGCCCCCGGTAGACTCCCCTCCCGTCGCCTGTCGAGGCGACCCTGGGGGGGGCCGCTTGCGGCCCCCCCAAGGGCGCCGCGACGGGCGACGGGAGTTGGGCCGGGGCAGGTCGGGGCCGGGGCAGGTCGGGGACGGGGCGGGGCAGCAGGGGCCGCGCACGGCTCCCCTGGGCAGCGCGACGGGGCAGCAGGGCCGCGCGACGGGGCAGCAGGGGCCGCGCGCGGCTCCCCTGGGCGGCGCGACGGGGCTGCAGGGGCCGCGCGCGGCTCCCCTGGGCGGCGCGACGGGGCTGCAGGGGCCGCGCGCGGCTCCCCTGGGCGGCGCGACGGGGCTGTAGGGGTCGCGCGACCCGCCGCGCGCCTCGGGGCGCGCGGCGGGCAGGAAACCGCCGCGCGCCTCGGGGCGCACGGCGGGCAGAAAACCGCCGCGCGCCTCGGGGCGCACGGCGGGCAGAAAACCGCCGCGCGCCTCGGGGCGCACGGCGGGCAGAAAACCGCCGCGCGCCTCGGGGCGCACGGCGGGAAGAAAAACTGCCGCACGCCACGAAGCGTGCGGCACAGAGAGTAGCAGTAGCAGTTGCAGCGGAAGCAACAAGGTGGTGAGCCCACCCACAGGATCGATCCAAGGGGATCGACCTGCTCTGATAGCATGTTAAAGTTTAGAAGAAAGAAGAGGATTGCACTAGCAAGAATGGGGATACAAATAGGAAACCCTAGAAGGGTTGTACTCGCTATAGAGCACCCCACTACAGGCTAGAGCATAAGATAACATTCTGACAAATGTAGTCGGAGTGAAATAATCGTATCTATTTCACAGGCCGACCGCTTTGCAGCCCACTAAGTCTATCGCTCCCCTCACACAAACTACTACAGAAACGCGAGGGTAACCTAGGAAAGTAGCTCTGATACCAGCTGTTATGAGTTGTAATGAAGAGAGTGCGCAGGATTCAATAACGTGGAAGTGATAACAACTACTGAGCGAATAATGAGGCCTAGCACTAATATAGCGACTGCTAGCTAGGTTGAGGTCGCGGGACCGCGAATGGCTGGGTGTAGGTTCGGGTTTGGGAAACCCGAAGGCGACGCGATGATGGTTCGGAGGGCGAGGTTGTCGGACCGAGCCTGAACTCCGAAATGTTGGGGTCTGTACGCGTACAGTGTGACTCAGTAAGGAATTAGGGAAAATTCCTTACACAAGCCATCACGCGAATGGTACCGGTAACTAGAAGAAACCCTCGCCCAATGTTTCCCTGATTCTGGTTTTTCCCGCTCGCGCCAGACTAAATTGACGAGTCCTGAAGCACCAAATTCTGACACAATTTCCGAGATTCTGACACTTTCCGAAATTCAGACTATTAAGTGACAATTTGCTGTTTTGAAAATCGTTTTTTTTTTATATTGTTGATATCATGGCGCTCGCGAAAATTGAATTTATGGAAATTATATCGTACAACCGGGGCAAAAAATATATACCCCTTTCGGATGGCAATTGATTTTGAGAGCATCAACCCTAAACTCCTTGCGACAAGGCGTTCAGGGTATATTTATACAATAAAGGCATGCCATTCGGAAGGCTTCATTATTTTCCGACCTCCTAAATTATCCCACGTTGCATTAATTACATTCTTCTAAATAAAATTATGTGTCGAGTTTCCGGGAATTTTTCATCATTTTGAAATTATGCAATTATGATTGAAAAAATATAATTGTACTTGTTAAACCATATGTCCGAGCTTAAAATAGATATGAAACGGCTCTGAGACTATTTGGTCCGTGGTAATAGAACAAACGCGATCCTTCAAAGTCACGGCGGGAATCGTTCAAGATCGATAAAACGGTGCGTAAAACTTTCCATTTCTAGTTACCATTCGCGTGAAAATTCGCCTGTGCAAAGTTCCCAATTGTGTGAAACGAATTACCAAACGCGTGAAAATACACTGTTATACCAGTTACTTCACGCGTTAAAGAGCCCTTTTTTTGTTACCATTGGCATGCTTTCCCAAGCAGGCTCATACCTGATTGGAACTGGAACAAACCCGTACATATAAAAAGGGTACATGATAGGTGATCAATGATAGAAAGTAGCCAAGGAAGAAAGATTCGGGAGGAACAAAATGTCAGTGGCCCCAAATTCCCTCTCAGTTATCCCCACTTCCCCTTCCCTCCTTCCCTTCCCCCCTTCCAATCCACCCCCCCCACAGAATCAAAGGTCACCCATTATAATCACAGAGTGCACCACCACTAGAAAGACGAGTACCAAATCTGACCACGATCTTATTCCACATATCCCCAACCCCAATCCAACCAACTAAATTTCCACAACACACCTCAACCATAGCACCTTCAGCGGCGATCGTAGTAAGAGCCTCCATCCGTCCAATCATCTTGCGCCGTATACTCCGATTGAACATCAGATATCCCATCCCCCCTCACCCCACCTCCCTGATACCCCCCATGCCCCTGCCCTGGATACTCAGACCCTACCTCACTCTCAGCATATCCCCCCTCTCCACCATACCCACTATGCACACTCCTCTGACCATACTCCGTCGCTCCATCATCCACCACCGTATCCCCATCCCCATGGTGCCCCATCTCATCCCCATCCTCATTATAGTACGTCCCAGTACCATCGTCGTCATGCGCCGCGTTCGGATCGTACACCTCATCCTCGTCCCCATCCGGCCCAATATAATTCCCTTCTTCATCGTAAAAAGCATCTTCGTCCCCCTCCCCTTGCAGCGGCTGCTGCATATCTGCCATTTGGAATTCCAAAAACGCCTCGTCTTTCTTCTTGCCCTCGCGGTATCCTCTAATGAGGCAGAAGCAGCAGATCGCGACGACAAACAGGAGAATCCCGAGAACGATGCCACCCACTTTCAGCCAATAGGATGTGTTCTGAACCGTGGTTGTGCTGCTGCTGCTGCTGCTGCTGCTGCTGCTGCTGCTGCTGCTGCTGCTGCTACTGCTGCTGCTATTGCTGCTGCTGCTGGGGGTGCTGCTGCTGCTGGGGGTGCCACCACTGCTGCTACTGCTGCTGTTGCCAGCTGTGGTAGGAGGCATGGATCCCGAGCCTGCTCCTCCCGAACCTCCACCTCCGGCTGGGGGAAGCGGGGTAGTATTCGCATCATACGTGGTAAGAAAAGTCAGATCCGACGCAGGATCCACACGGGGATCGGGGCCGGGTGGGAACTTTTGTCTGCAAGTGAAGTTGCAGTCGGATGGCTGGGTAAGTCGGAAAACACCCAGATGGGTCAGGATGTAAAGCGTGCCATTTATGTCCTGCCCCCAGGCGAAAACCGCGCCAAAATTCGGGCGGTACGGGCCTTGCATCGGGCATTGGATGGGTGAATTGGGCGCGCAGGAGACATTGAGGGGTTGCGAACCGAGGGGGAAATGGCCGCTATAAGGAGGATTCTCTGTAGCCACGTAGAACTGGTTGTTCCTGTCACTGAATAGGTACCTGGTAGGGGTAAGGATGAGAGAATGCAGGGTGAAAATTGGTGGGTTAAGGACTTGGTATAGAGTATTGAGTACTGAGTGCCAGGGTAGAGTAGAGGAATGAGGGTTTGAGAAAAGACAACAGGAAGAGTAAGGGGTTGAGAAGAATTATGGAATTTGACTGGGTCGGGTCCAAGAAATTAAGGATTGATTTTCAAATGATTCAAAATAAGAGGTTTCACACATCAAACCCAGGCATGCACACACGCACCATCACCAGCATCGCACCTTCCATATAAGCACGCGTCCTCGAATCCTCTTGCGTAGAACCCCCCAACCACGCTGCTGGTGTTGCTCCAGACGTATTGAAACGACGGCAGCTTCTGGTTCGGCACGGGCCGCTGCTCGCTAGCATTGGCGAACTCCCGACCCTCATACCACTTCCACCCATAGTTACCACCGCTGGTTACCACGTCGACCTCCTCCCACTTGGTCTGTTGGTGAAGGAAGGGAGGGGAGGAAGGGGGGGCAGCCGACAAAGGATGTGAGAGACGGGGAGGGGGTTTAGGTATGGGCCGGTAGTGGTCAGGTACGGGCCGAAGCTAACTAGTGTTGGCATACTCCCAACCCTCATATCACTTCCGTCCAAAGCTGCTGCTTTTGAGTCGACTCAAGAGTCAACTCTTTCGAGTCGACTCATAAGTCAGCTCTTTTTGAGTCAACTCAAAAGTTCTCTCATATCACTTCCATCCAAAGCGACTGTTGCTGGTTACGACGTCTAGCTCTTCCCACTTGGTCAGTTGTGAAGGAAGGGTAGAGTGGCATGAAAGAGAACGAAGGACGGAATGGCATGGCAATCCGTCAGCCACCCTATGAGCAGCACTCACTCACCCATCCCACATGCCCGCACATCATGACAGAGGGTTTGAGCAAGTCGAACATTCACTTCCATGGGTCGTGGATGGAAGCCCAGCGCAAACACCTCCCCTCGCCAGTCCCCACATTCCCCTCCCAGCTCCTCCCGAACAGAACCGTTTCCCCACATCCCAGCAACCCTCAAGAAGCACTCACCCATCCCACATCTCCACACATCATAGCAGGTCGAAGGTGCACTTCCATGGGTTGTGGAAGCCCAGCGCAAACACCTCCCCCCTCCCGCCTCCCCCTCGCCCCCAAAGATCCCTTATCACCCCCCTCCCAGATCCCTTTCCCATCCCACCCACAAGCAGCACTCACCCATCTGACATCCCCACACATCATAACGGAGGGCCTGAGCAGGTCGAAGGTGCACTTCCATGGGTCGTGGAAGCCCAGCGCAAACACCTCCCCTCGCCAGTCCCCCTATCCCCCCCTCCCAGTTCCCCCCATACACCCACATCCCAGGAGGGAATCCCTTCAGCTGTCCTATAAGCAGCACTCACCCATCCGACATCCCCACACATCATGACTGAAGTCCTCAGCAGGTCGAAGGTGCACTTCCATGGGTCGTGGAAGCCCAGGGAAAACGCCTCCCCTCGCCAGTCCCTTGCTTGCTCCTACACCCCCACCCACCCTTCCCCCCCCCCACTTTCCCTCCCCCCCTGTCCCTTTCCCTTCCCACCCTCAACAATCACTCACCCATCCCACGTCTCCACACATCATGACTGAAGGCCTCAGGAGGTCGAAGGTGCACTTCCATGGGTCGTGGAAGCCCAGAGCGAATACCTCCCCGCGCCAGTCCCAGTCGAGGGCGTGCGGGTTGTCCGGGGGAATGCCGTACGCCCCCAGAAGCCCCCTGCTCTTGATCTCATCCTCGCCTGTGAGGGGAGGAAGGGGAGGCGGAAAGCAATGAGCGGACGAGTCAACTCAGTGGCAGACGGGTTGCCCGCGGGAAATCCATATGCCCCCAGCAGGCCCCCTACTCTTTATCTCATCCTCGCCTGTCAAGGGGGGTGGGTGGGTACGGGGAGGTTAGGGAGGGACGAAAGGGGGGGAACGGGGGAGAGAGAAGAGAAACGCCTTGGAGTTCTGCGCCAAGCCCAGGGGATCTAGGTCCCATTGCGAGGGGTGAACACATCACCCCACCACATGACAGCACACCACACCACACTGCACTGTGCTAGTCTCACACCAGCCCACAAGCCCACCCGCCCACCTGGCTGGCTGATCCCATTGAGAACGTCCAGCCGCAGCACCTTCCCATGGAACGCCTTGGGGTTCTGTGCCAGGCCCAGGGGGTCCAGCTCTCCCCCTCCGTCCCCCAGCATGACGTAGAGCATGCCATCCGCGCCGAATCGAATCTGGCCGCCGTTGTTGTTGATGAAAGGCTGCCCCAGCCGCACTATGTAGCGCACTATCGTGGCCTCTATGCTTGATTTCTGAGGGGGAGGGAGGGGGTGGTGATTGGGTGGGGGAGATGCAGGAAGGTGCAGGGGGGAAGGCAGCAGTGCCAGGGGTGTGGGGGATGGGGAGCGGAGGGATGTGTGAGCGAGCAGAGCAGCACACTCCGTCCCCCAGCATGACGTAGAGCATGCCATCAGCGCCAAAGCGGATCTGGCCACCGTTGCTGTTGATGAAGGGCTGCCCCAGCCGCACTATGTAGTGCACTATCGTGGCCTCTATGCTCGCTTTCTGGTGGGGGTTGAGGGGGTGGGTGGGTTGTGGCAGGAAGGGCAGCAGATGTTGATGAAGGGCTGCCCCAGCCGCACTATGTAGCGCACTATCGTGGAGGAGATGCTCGCTTTCTGGTGGGGGTTGAGGGGGTGGGTGGGTTGTGGCAGGAAGGGCAGCAGATGTTGTTGATGAAGGGCTGCCCCAGCCGCACTATGTAGTGCACTATCGTGGCGGAGATGCTCGCTTTCTGAGGGGGGGGAAGCGGGGGCAGTAGTGGTGGGAGAAGCAGCCAGGGGGAGGCAGCAGGGAGCAGGGAGGGGGAAGGGGAAGAGATGGCTTTTGAGTCGACTCTGATGAAGGGCTGCCCAAGCCGCACTATGTAGCGCACTACCCCCGCGTCTATGCTCGCTCGCTGGTGGGTGGGGGAGTGGAGGGAAGGGGAGAGGGAAGGGGATGGGGGGAGGGGGAGGGAAGCGGGGGAGGAGGAGATGTGGCGTGGAGAGCATGTCAATACGAGCAGAACGTAAGCCACCACTGCCACGCACTTGCACCATTCCCCTATCCACGCTGCCTGTCTGCATACCTGGGAGATCTTAGCAGGCGTGCAAATGGTGTCACTGCACGCAGAGAACTCAGCCACCACAGTCACGTTTCTGCACAGGTCCCCCGTGCCCCACCGCCCGTCCGGATTGGCCGCCTTAACCTTGTCGGCCGTGCAGTCCACTGCATCGTAGCAACCGCACACAGCAGCCTTGCAGTCCGAGTTGACTGATGAGTCGCACGTGAAGGACACGAAGAGACGGCCGTTGCTGGTGTAGTCCGGGTGGAAGGCGATTCCTACTGCTCCCTGCTCCGCGCCCTGTGCCACCCTGCGAGCGAGGGGGTAAGAGGAGGGGGAGAGGAGAGGGAGGTGACTTTTGTGAAGACTCAAAAGGATTGGCCGCCTGAACCTTGTCTGCCGTGCAGTTGACAGCATCGTAGCAGCCGCACACGGCAGGCTTGCAGTCGGGTTGACTGAGGATTCGCAGGTGAAGGACACTAAGAGACGGCCGCTGCTGAGGTGGTCTGGGTGAAAGACGCTTTTCACTGCCCCCTGCTTCGCGCCCTGTACCACCCTGTGTGAGGGAGGAAAAGGGGGGTGGGGAGAAGGGGAGAGCCACTTTGTGAGATGGGGCACCCACTGCCCCCTGCTCCGCGCCCTGTGCCATGCTGTGAGGAACAAAAGGGAGGAGAGCAAGCTGGATATTCATTTGGAAGCTCCCTCCCATCCCAACCCCATCCCAATGCCCCTTCCACTCTCTCGCCCCACCCCTCCCTGTCTTCTCCCCTCCCGGCCCTCTTCCCTCGCAGCCCTCCCTCCATCCCAACCCCTACCCCTCCCTCCCAACCCCCTCCATCCCAGCCCCTCCCCCTCCCACCCAACCCCCCTCCAACTCAGCCCCTCTCCCTCACAAGCCCCCTCCTCCCAGCCCCCTTCATCCCAGCCTCTCTCCCTCCCCCGCTTCACTCACAAGCCACTGATGTCGAGAAACGCGGAGCCCCCATCAGAAGGAAGCTGGTCTGACGACCCCGGCTCGGGCAGATTGTAAAGAAACAACCTGCCCGCGCGCTCCAGGAAAAACGCGCGCCGCGATTGGTCCGGGTGCGGGGTCATAGCCACATAGTAACTATTCTCCTCGCTCTTGTCATTCTTCGTACTCAACCCAATCTGCTCCACACACATGTTATTCACGGGCGGCATCACATCCTCCCCCAACTCATCCGGGTAATCCACCGGTTTACCCCGGTAGCAAATCTTCGGCCCGTCGCCGGGGTTCTTATTCGGCGGCATGTACCGGCGGCAAAACTCGCCCTTAGTTAAGTAAACGTCGTAAAGCGAGATGAAGCGTGGGTCATTGGTGGCAACAAAAGGGTTGTAAGGGATGGCGACCATGCCGCAGACGTCCCAGACAGTGGAGCAGAAGGGCTGCGTCTCAACAGGGTCGCGGTTGGACTGGGCCGTGCAGAGATACGGCACGTCGGCGTAGCGCCCCGTGTGGTCGCGACGGTACACCTGCGACGCGTAGGGGTCGCACTCCTGGTGGGGGTTGAATAGGATCATGGGAGGGTTGAATAAGGGAGGAAAGTAAGACGGAGGTTGCACTGGGCTGTGAGGAGGTAGGGTAGGGGATCTTGGCGTAGCAGCCTGTGTGGTCACGGCATTGAATCTGCGAGGCGTAGGGGTTGCACTCCTGTTGGGTGTGGGAGGGTGGAAAAAGGGACAGGGGCAAGAAGGGAGAGGGGGAAGAGGGAAATTGGAAAGAGAGGACTGTCGGCGTAGCGCCCTGTGTGGTCGCGACGGTACACCTGCGAGGCGTAGGGGTCGCACTCCTGGTGGGGGGATGGGTGGGATCATGGGAGGGTTGAAGGGAGGGTTGAAGAAGGGCCAGGGGGATGTAAAGTGAGGGGGTGAAACGCAAACACAGCACTCACAGTACTCACACATGCTCACGCATGCACGCACGCACACACGTGCCCTCGCAAGCGCGCACGCACACACACAAACACGAATTCACGCAGACAAAACACCCAAATACACACACGCACGCCATTCACAGCACTCACAGCGTCACACAACATTTACAACACAGAGAAACCAAAACTTAACGTCGAATTGGCACGCACAGTGCACAGCGCTACTTGCACTCCCCACACACAGCAGCACTCACAGGCGAACCTTGACATTTTCCAGTGCACACACGCAGCACGCACAACGCACAGCACTGCTTGCATTCCACACACAGCAGCACTCACAGGCGAACCTAAACCTTCCCATATCTTTGTCTGTCTGTCCGTACACACCCAGACCTTTCCAATGCACATACGGAGCACGGCGCACAGCACTGCTTGCATTCCACACACAGCAGCACTCACGGCACGGAAAACAGCACTCACGGCGCACAGCACGAGTTCCAGCGCGCGGAGGCAGTTCTTGGCGCCGGGGATGTTGCCCATGGCGTTGCTGTACTTGAGCAGATTCTGCGCGATCTTCACGTTCCGATCGTTCGTGCAGCAGCTCTCGTTGTTGTACTGCCGGCAGATCTGCAGCTGGTCCTTGGGCGTCTGCGGTTGCGCTGATGGGAGGGAGCGGGGAAGGTGAGGAACGGGAAGGGAAAACGAGGGGGGTGGCATTTGGGTTTACTCTAAGGGTAATGTTGCGCTCGTTTGTGCAGCCGCTCTGGTTGTTGTACTGCGGATATATCTGCAGCTTGTCCTTCGGCGTCTGGGGTTGCGCTGATAGGAGGGAGCGGGGGAGGGGGGAACGAAAAGGATCGCTTTTGGGTTGATTAAAACGGAAATGTTGCGCTCGTCTGTGCAGCCGCTCTGGTTGTTGTACTGCCGGCAGATCTGCAGCTGGTCCTTCAGGGTCTGCGGTTGCGCTGAAGGGAGGGAGCGGTGGGAGGTGATGAATGGGAGGGAAAAGCAAGGAGGGTGGCTTTTGGGTTGTCTCTAACGCAAATGTTTCGCGATAAGTGGGGACTTTTGGTTGCGCTTAAGGGGATGAATGCTTCAGGAATGTAACGCGAGGGACGAACGTGCGTTTGAAGGATTATACGCTGACGAATGACGAGTAATTGAATGTTATACGCTGACAAAATGACGGGCGACTGAAGGATTTAACGTGACGTAACGACGTGCGCTTGAAATATTAAAAGCTAACGGACTGAAAGGCGATTAGACTGTCGGAAAGACAGCTGACGGCTGACGGACTGAAGGATGACTAGACTGTCGGAAAAAAAGCCGACGGCTGACAGACTCGCAAGCAGATCCAATACTTACTCGAGCATTATCGCAAGGCTTCAACAAGAAAAAGAACGGAGGACGGAAGTGACGGTCGAGAATTGGTAGTTGAGAAAGAATGCATTGTAAAGTATGACTTCGGTCTCAACTTACACGAGTCTAGGCATAGCTTCTGAGCCGATGCATGACTTTCGATCCCGACCAGCATCAGCACTATCGCCATTAGTAGCAACACGTTGAGAAGACGCCGCATTTTCGGCGAATGAACTGAAGGATACGATAAATAAATGAATGTATCTTCGTTGCAGTTACGCGGAACTCTGTAACGCGTTCAGGAGCTCGGGTAGCTTCGAATACCTAAATAGCTTTGCTCCGACTACGTCAGATTCAGCTGAGGATAGTCGTTAGCAGGACCAGACTAAGAAACGGATAAGAGACCTGAACATATGGGCTTCTGGAACAAGTATAGAGGGTGGTGCCTCTATTCTATGTTCCAGCGCAAATCAGAAATCAATGTGAGCGTCTTCGCTCTACTTCCCATGCAGAACAAGCAACATGACTAAGAGCCGTCAAGGCGGCTGAATAAGCGACACAATGTGCGCGTTGTACGGCGTCGCATCGCCAACAGCCGCCCTTCCTGAATGACCAGAATAAGTACGGAATGAGGAATGCGGCTTCCGTCAAGGTGAAATTCTTGAGGCTGCTCCTCACATGAATGGTTTGGCGGACGGCTATGGCAGGAGGCGGGGGGAGGGAAGGGTGTGAGGGGGGAGGATTGGTGTGAGGGGGAAGAGAATGTATGTGGGGGAGTGGTTGCGGAAGGTAAGCGGGGCAACTTTGATGTTTTGGTTGGCTGGCCCTTCATCGTTGCGGGAGCGCTCTGCGAGCCTGCGCGCAGAAAATTATTATGCTCCGCTAATGCCGTACATTTTCCGCCACGCGGGAGTGTGGGATCTGAACCGCAGTCGCTGGCGGAACAGGAAGAGGAAGGCAGCTCCGCGTGAACAGAATCGAGGGACCGCTAGTGGAGCGAAAATAGGACCAGCGTGATGGGATGGGAATCGCATCGCTGAAGTTGGCAGACGACGGCTGGCGAAATTTTGGAGGAGCGTCGCGAGTCTCGTGAAAGTCGTCGCTGTTCTGAACCTGAACCACACGACCATGTCCTTGGGGTTGGATTTGTAAGCTATCGCGTATGTTTCGTAAGTGGTTTCGATGTTAGTACACTACCATTGAAGAAGCTGAGGGGGCTATATGAACTGCATAAAATGCAGCAGAGAAACACCTACGGATGAATTCACATCACATATACTAACAGTTTGAAGTCTGAGCTGCAATCAAGACTGATTCACATGTAAGCCTTGGGATCCAGGGTCTTGAGGTCCACCTGGATATCCTCCAAGCCGTCCCTGTGAAATGGGATAAAAAAATACCGCGTAAACAGGCAAATTACATCAAGAATATGATGAACATCACGAGGGTAATTGCATTGCAGTCCATGTCAGCATCCTTAAAAACCTTCCCAGGTGATCGACAGTAATTTAGAGTGAGAAATAATCACAATATCAGACAAAAACCCCTTCCGAACAGCGCGCTTGGTAAAAAAACTAGTAACAAAAAAATGCGCAACAAAATGGTGCATACCGGAAGGCCTGGGAGCAAGCAGACTGAGAGAAATATTCCCGAGTCCCTGCTCGCAATAACCCCTTTGGTGCCTCCTTGCTCACTTCCCAGGACTGCCCAACTTTCCTGTCCATCCCAACCTCGCTCAACAGGTTTAACGCCTCAAACCCCAAGGGACCACCCACCTCTTCTGATACGTGCCAATATTCTCCACCGCCTCGCTAGCCAAGGCAGCAATGTCAGTCTTGGCCATTTTTTTGCAGGTTGTTTTTTCCAATAATTCTCAGGAACAGCCCAGAACCCCACCCAGCTCTTCTGGTACGTGCCAATCTTCTGTGCTGCCACGCTGGCGAAGGCAGCGATGTCCGTCGTGGCCATTTTTTGTAGGCCGTTTTTGAGAATTCTCAATAAGAACCCGAGCGACAACCACCCACCTCTTCTGGTACGTGCCAATCTTCTGCGTTGCCTCGCTGGCAAAGGCAGCAATGTCAGTCTTGGCCATGCTGGTCTCCAGCTGCTGCTCCAACGGCTCTAAATCGCCGTCCTTCAACCCCAGCCTGGGGGGGGGAGAGAAGGGAAAGTTGGATGGCGGAAAGAGGAGGTAGAAGGGGCTAGTCAAGGGGAAGGCAGCGACGTCAGTCTTGGCCATGCTTGTCTCCAGCTGCTGCTCCAACGGCTCCAAGTCGCCGTCCTTCAACCCCAGCCTGGTACCGACAGGGAGCGGCGGGGATGAGCAGGGAGAAGGGGAAAAGCAGGGACAGGGGAACGCAGCGAAATTCAGATGGCAGAAAGAGGGGATTACACAGGGCTAGTCCAGGGGCAGGCAGCGCTATTCGGCTTGGCCATGCTCATTTCCAGCTGCTTCTCCGGTGCTTCCAGATCTCAGCCCCAGCCACAACCTGGCTGGCCATGTGCGTGAACACACGCACACTCAACAAAAACACCCTGTAAGAACTCCGTATGCATGCACACACCAGAAATCCAGTCAGATTTCTTGTATGCAAGATGTGAACACCCTCATTTCTTGTTGAGGGCGTTCACCTTCTCCTGCAGCATCGCCAGCACTTATACTGTGTTTCCCCCAGAGGAGGTAAAAAACAGTTGCATGTCATGGCTTGAGCCAAATAAACCATGGCCATCATTCCAAAATATTTTGGGAAATGCTTCAGGTTGATGGCGCTGACAAGAAAACAAACAAAAAAAACATACAAACACACATACAAGCACACACTATACTTGTTGACAATAGAACTCACTTCTTGTTGATGGCGTTCACCTCCTCCTGAAACATCGCCATGCCCTTCACATCATCGCCCACCAGTGCCTTCCCCAGCTTCTTCTCAACGCTGTCCAGCACTGCAAACATGAGCTTCTCCGCTCCCAGCTTGTCCTCCACTCCCAGCCTAGGCGCACAGGGGTGGTTTGGGACAAGGGAGGACGGGGTGACGGGGATGTAAGGGTGGAGGGGAAAGCGTTCCTCCTTCCCCACCTTTCCCAGCTTCTTCTCAACGCTGTCCAGCGATGGGAACATGAGCTTCTCCGCTGCCCAGCTTGTCCACCACTCCTAGCCTAGGTGCACAGAAAGGTGTGTGATGGGTTGGAAAGAGGTGGTATGGGTGGGATGGGGTGGGATGGGTGGGATTGGGTGGGTGGCACCGTGGCACATCAGCCAATGTGAGCAAATCCAAGCCTAGAAGCACAACCCTGATGCTAGAAACTTCAAGGAATCTGTGCACGCATTGCAACCCTCTCTCACTCCCAGCTGCATTCCTAAATGCTACCTTGTTACATGGTCCCTCGTTACAAGGTTCCTCATTACAAGGTGCCTGCTTCACTACAGGGTACATCATTGAAAAGCGTCTGGTTAAACAGTGCCACGTTAGAAAGAACCACAGCAATCCACTCACTGCCTGCGGATTATGCGAGATTCTTCCAGGAAGCTGCGCACGTCCCGCGAGTCCTCCTCTGCTGACTCGAGCAGGTTGGAGAGCTTCTCGGAGAAGGACGGGATGCCCAGGCTGGGATGAGGTGGGATGCCCAGGGGAGGGTTGGGGAGGGGTGGGAAGGGGTGGGAAGGGGTGGGGATGGGAGGGGACGAGAGGGACGGGGGGCCAACAGCATGCCAGAGTCCTCCTCTGCTGACTCGAGAAGGTTGGAGAGCTTCTCAGAGAAGGACGGGATGCCCAGGCTGGGATGAGGTGGGGAGGCGTGGAGTGGAGGGGAGGGAAGGGTCACAGGAAGAACGGCACTTGCAGAGTCCTCCTCTGCTGACTCGAGCAGGCTAAAGAGCTTCTTAGAGGATGAAGGGATGCCCGGGCTGGGATGAGGGCAGGGGAGGGGAGGGATTGGAGGGGAGGGAGGGAAGATGGGAGTGGAGGCGGAGCGGGTGGAGGGGAGGGGAGATGAGCGGAGGGGAGGGGAGGGAAGGGGACGGGAGTGGAGGGGAGGGGAGAGGAGGGGAGGGAGAGGGGAGAGGAGGAGGTTGGGGAGTGCTTCCTATTGCAGTTTCAGGAGGGGAGGAGGAGGAGAATGAGGGAGGAGGAGGCAGTAAGGGTGGTCTAGCGAGCCATACCTCTCGCGGATGCTCTTAACAGCTGCAGCGTAGGCCTTGGTGGCCTTGTCGTCAGCAGCGTTTTGAGCTGAACTGGTATTGAGGTACCTCGCCGCTCAGGACCGTGCCTCACCTCTCAGGACCGTGACTCACCTCTCGCGGATGTTCTTCACGGCTGCAGCATACGCCTTAGTGGCCTTGTCGTCAGCAGCGTCCATGGGGATGGGAAGAGGATGAGGAAGGACGAGAAGAGGAAGAGGAGGGAGGGAAAAGGATGAGGAAGGGAGGAAGAGGATGAGGGGTGTATGGTTGATCCGGACTCACCTCTCGCGGATGTTCTTAACAGCAGCAGCGTACGCCTTGGTGGCCTTGTCGTCAGCAGCGTCCATGGGGATGGGAACTTTCTTGAGACCTTCCAGATACGACCGGAATGACGCCTGCTGCTTGATGAACGCCGCCTTCACCACATCCTCTGGTGGTTGGGGGGGACGGTGGGGAAAGGGGGGAGAGCAGGGGTTGGGTGGGGTGGGAAAGATAGACTCAACTCAATGCCGCCTTCCAGAGATGACCTGAATGACGGCCGCTGCTTGATAAACGTCGCCTTCACACATCCTCTGGCGGTTGGGGGGGACGGTGGTGTGGGGGGGGGGGGGGGGGGGAATGGAGCGGGAGGTGGGTGGGATGGGAGGGGACGGGTATAATTCAATAAATATTCCAGATTCGACCGGAATGACGGCCGCTGCTTGATGGATGCCGCCTTCACACATCCTCTGGTGGTTGGGGGGGACGAAGGAGGGGAGGGTGGGGGGAAAGTGGGAGGAACGGTACGTGGGTGGAAAGAAAGATCCAATGCACCTTCCAGATATGACCGGAATTACGCCTGCTGCTTGATGAACGCCGCCTTCACCACATCCTCTGGTGGTTGGGGGGGACGGGGAGGGGGGGTAGGAGTGGGGATGAGGAACGTCGACGCGGACGATGAGAGGGGGAAAGAATGACTGACTTCTACGTGCGACACGTGATGAGGCCGGGGAGTGGGAGGGGGGGGGGTGGGGGATGGGGAGTGGGAAGCGCGTACGTACCTTCAGCAGGAGCTGCAGTAGCGAATCCGCGGGCGACATTCCCCGCGAGTAGCGCGGATGCGGGCGCAGCAGGGGCGAGCCTTGCGGACACCGCCCTACCCTGTTGCGCGGACACGAGGAAGGGGGGAAGGGAAGGGGGGGGGAGGGGTGGGGGAAGGTGCAGAGGGAGGAGTGAGGGAAAGAGTAAGGAGAGGAGCGAGAGGAGTAGTGGGGGAGGATTTGGAAGAAAGAGTGGAAAAGGGACAGGAGGAGATAAGGGGGAGGGTAGGATGGGGGTAAGGGGGGAGGCGTGGGGGGAAGGGAGGGTATATGTCGTGGGAAGCACGATGGGGATCGAAGGATCAGTCGAGGATCGCCGGAGAAGCAAGAGAGAGGACATGGTGAGAAGAACTCTAGTCTATTTTTGAGGCGCCTCGAAAGTATGGCGTGGGAAGCACGATGGGGATCGAAGGATCGGGACGAGGATCGCCGGGGAAGTAAGGGAGAGGACATGGTGGGAAGCACTCTAGACTTGTTCTCCGGCTCACGAACACAGTTAGCTTCCCCGGAAACTCGGCTGACAGCAAACGACACGTATCTACCCCACGCAGCGCTAACCCTACAGACGGATTTTCGAGGCGGCTCTGAATTCGGCTCACACACGCAGCTGGGTTCATCGGAGACTTGGCTGACAGCTTAGCGTGCATTGCCCTACAGACAAGCATTGTCCTATAGACAGATTTAACCACTCGTTCGTGATCCTACAGATCGCATCCGAGCAGAGAAGGAAAGGCAGCAACGCGGCACGAAAAGGTAAACCTAAATGAGGCCTAGTTTTGAGACGTCTCAGCACTCGATCGCATGCGAACAAAGCACCATCTAGGAGTATTGAGCCGAATCGAAGCGTCGAGGCGCGACAAACTCGAGGCATCTCAAACTCGATCCCGGTCGAACCAATGCGCGCCAACGCACCACGCGCAGTGTAAGCTACACGACAAGGAAGCACTCCCTGAAAGGCGACAAAAAGCCTCGTAGGTTCGCTGAGAGCGACGTACGGCGAGCGCGAGGAGGCGGGAGCTGGAGCGAGCAGCCATCGGTGACGACTCGATACAGGAGCGATCGGCGGGACGGAAGTAGCGCGCGAGTGCACGGCGAGCGGAAACGGAGCGGAACCGGAGCGGAAAGGCGAGAGTGAAAAGCGGGGGATTCGGCGGAACGGACAACAGGGAGCGCGCGATCAGAGGTGGCGACTCGCGAGGACAGAGGCGTGGTGATACCTGCCTGGTGCAGTAAGAGGCGTGGGATGGTGATGGTGCAGGTGGGTCTACATACGTGTGTTCCTCGGGTAAGGAGGAACCAAGGGAGGAAGCAGAGGAAAGAAAAAGGAGCACTAATATTGATTTTTGTGCAGTGTATTCGTTGCATCTACAATGCATCTTTGGAGGTCCCAAATATTGGATTATGCTTTTAGTAATGATACAGTTATATTATAACAAGCAAACAAACAAGCAAAAAGGCAAGAAAATTAGTCCAGCCATCATGTTAGTACGGTAAGCCCTTAAAAAGCCAGTAACCAGTTAGTAAAGTGAACCTAGTCAACGACTGAAAAAGGGTTAAAGCCTCAGTTCCAGATCCAGATCTGTTACTTCTTGGAACCCATGTCCACCCTCATTCAGCTGGCGCCCTCCATTGTTCTGTGCATCTTGACAGTGTGCGTTTGCAGCACCTGAATCTCCAGCCCATGCTCCTGCTGATCCTGCTGCTGTCGCTGCTGCTGCTGCTGTTGCAGGTGTTGCTGGTTCAGAATTTTGCAGCTGCATCATCAAACCACGTGCAAGCGTCTTCATCTGCATTTCTGCTCCCGCCTTGATTTCTCCCTGACCAAGAAGGGCCTGTGCGGCTTGCAGCTGGGATAGCAGCTGAGCCTGAGCCGATCGCGGCTTCTATTTCGGCGTGTTAGAGACTGCACATTTGGCGACAGCTTGGATCAATCCAAATTTATACGAGCGGTTTTCTCGCACTGTGCGAGCAATTGGTTACATGCACAAGGCGGTGTTAGAATAGTGAACGAATGAATGAAACAGAGAAGAGGGGTTTCACTAGCAGGCAGTTGAGTACATATAGCAAACCCTAAATTGAGCTGTACTCACTATTGAGTACCCCACTGCAGGCTAGACAAATATAACATTCTGACACACCCCCATAGCCAAAGTGGGGTGTAATCAGCACAATAAGCAAGCAGAGCAATAGTTCACGAATACAAGCAAAGCTAGAGGCAGTCACAGACGGTAAGTGAGGAGGACGAGGGACTGTGAGAGGAGTGGAGATAGGAGACGACGGGTGAAGCTGTAGATACACGGGCAACAGGAGCGGCGCGCACTGTGGCTACCGGAGATTGTAGCCTCCGGACTACTGGAGTAACTGGCTCCGCGGCTAACTCTGAGCGGCAGGAGCAACAGACCCACGGGCGACTGGCGCAGCAGGCTCGCTGGGCTACCGGAGATTGTAGCCTCCGGACTACTGGCGCTGCTGGCGACACGATGGCTGCCTCCGCCCAACCTCCCCAAACTGTCCCACCCCCCTTTCACACACCCCCTGCGGCACCTCTAGCACTGCTCACACGCCACCCCCTTAGTACCACTCCGACGGCTCCCACACATCCACCCCCCTCGACGGCAGCTGCAGCAGTGGGAGACGGAGGAGGAGGAGGAGCAGGGGAGGCCGCACACACCCGTCACCCCCGTACTCACCACCCCCAAACCCTAACACAGGCAGTACGGGGCGGGAGCGGGTGCCCGCACGACAGGACAGGTGCGCGCGGGCCTGGCGCAGTCTGAACGGGCCGCGCAAGGGCCTGGCGCAGGCCGTGCGGGCCGCGCGCGGGCCTGGCGCAGGCCATACTGGCCGCGCGCAGGCTGTACGGGCCGTGGGTCCCGGGGGCGCTTCGACGTGCGACGGGGGGGCGACGCGCAGGTCCCGGGGGGCGCTTCGACGGGCGACGGGGGGCGACGCGCAGGTCCCCGAGGGCGCTGCGACAGAGCAGCAAACAACCCGGGCAGGGCAGAAAACCGCTGCGCGCCCAGCAGGGCGACGCGACGGGCAGAAAACCGCCGCGCGCCCCGAGCGCGCGGCGGGAAGAAAAAATGCCGCGCGCCATGGGCGCGCGGCGGGCAGAAAAACGGCGCGCTCCCGAGGCGCGCGATAGGCAGGACAGCAGCAGCGGAAGCTAACGGTGGGCCCATGCACAGGATCGACCCGGGAGGGTCGACCTGCTCTGATTCCAAGTTAGAATAGTGAACGAATGAATGAAACAGAGAAGAGGGGTTTCACTAGCAGGCAGTTGAGTACATATAGCAAACCCTAAATTGGGCTGTACTCACTATTGAGTACTCCACTGCAGGCTAGACAAATATAACATTCTGACAGGCGGAGCGGGTGGACCGTTACGTCAGAGGGCTGAAGCCAGGCATCTCGTACGAAATCATGCTACGCGGGCTATCTAATTTCGACGAAATCCTCGCGCTCGCCGAGAAAATCAACATTTTGCGCCGTCCGAGATCGGGGTCCTACTACGGACATCGCCCTCGGGGGCCGACAGAGCACGCCACCGTACATGCCATTGCGGCGAACGCAGATGCTGCGCCGTTCAAGGGGCGCTTCTTCGCTTGCAATAAGCCGGGCCATCGTAAGAGCGAGTGCCCAGAGCAAAGAGGCGTCGTGGAGCAGAGCAAGGGAAGGAGTCTGGGAGGCAGGGAAACGCCAATAGTGAGCAGAGATCGGGCCCACTACTGACGAGACCCACTGCTCGCCCGACCCAAGTGACCCTCGCCGAGTCAAAGTACCGACTCACTCGATCGATCGGGCTCGGCTGAATAAGGAGGGTACATCGACGGATTGCCCAGTACTGATTCACGGGAAAATACAAGGGGTAGCATTGGAGATTTTTATAGACGGAGGAGCAAGTCACTGCTTAGTTAATACCACAACGGCGCGAAAACTGCAACTGACACTTAGTCGATGCTTACCGGAGATCGACGCACGCTTAGTTGACAGCTCGCCTCTGGCCAAACGGGAAGAACTGGAGAGAGTAAAAGTTCGGTGCGGGGGAAACTTCGGGTTTACACAGGAAATGCTCGCGACGACATTGGACGGGCACGACATATTACTGGGATGTAATTGGCTGCGACGCTACAACCCACGAATTGACTGGTATATATGTTTATACCTGCTTGTTTACTCTTGCTAGGTTGTGATCAGTGAACTGCCTTGCTATTATAACTCTGCATGTAAACTGGCCTTGTGGCCGCGTGCTTGTGCTCAGATTGTGTGGTGTCCTTGAGATCCACCGTGAGCTTTGCTTTGCTGTTCTCTTGCTTGACTGGTCTTATGAGCGTCTGTTGTGTTTGCTATCTACCACTTAGCATATGGGGGTGTGTCAAACTATATGTTTGTGTTCTCTCTAGGCTATAGTGGGTTAGCCTACAAGGGGTACATCACTTTAGGGTTAGTACTTGTACCCAACTCATTCAAAGTTCATTCATTCCTGCACAGTTATTCTGACATGCCACCGCCGTCCCGTGACCTATAAGCCGGGAGATTACGTACTGCTTGACTTGCGCTTGACCGTCGTACCAAAACTTTGCACGCGCTACTGTTGCCCGTTCCGAATCAACCACATGATAACACCCGTCACCGCCCATCTTCGGTTATCGACAGAATGGTACATCAGCCCGTCGTTCCAGGCCAGCTTACTTCGCCCATACTCTGCCACCACGAGCAAATTGCAACGCCATCGCCCACCATCGATGACGTTGTCAGAGGTCCACTGGTGATTCCCGATTGATCCTAGGGAAGGGTTGCAGGCTCATTGTCCTAGGGGGTTATGGGCGCACTGACCCAATACTTGACAAGCCCTTTTATCCCAGTGGTTAGTGGCTGGGATTCTGACATGGTATCAGAGCGAAGGTCTCGGGTTCGAATCCCAGTATGTGCACTTCGGGCATCCCAGTGTGGGGGGGTGTCAGAGGTCCACTGGTGATCCCCGATTGATCATAGGGAAGGGTTACAGGCTCGTTGTCCTGGGGGGTTATGGGTGCAGTGACCCGCTACTTAGCAAGCCCTTTTATCCCAATGGTATAGTGGTTGGGATTCTGACATGGTATCAGAGTGGTCTCGGGTTCAAATCCCGGTGTATGCACATGCAAGCCGTTGCCGTTGTGCCGAGTCCTGGACCTCCCAGTGTGGGGGGGTGTCACAAGACTTGCACTGCGAGATCCTCGATTGATCCTTGGGGGGTTACAGGCCTGTTAGCATGGGGGGTTATGGGCGCATTGACCCGCTACTGAAACAAGCCATTTTATCCCAATGGTCTAGTGGTTGGGATTCTGACAGACGCGTCCTGTATCGGAGCCGATCGCCGACCCCAAAACAAATTATGAGCCATCGGATTCGCCACCCCACGGGAATTTGGGGGATCGAGTTCCTCATTCGCTGGAAGGACCGCACCTCTACGAAGGATATTTGGGTGCCCCTAGTCAACATTGAAAACCACCCTGCCCTGCAAATGTACATGCGAAGCCGAGGTTTCCGGATGTACACGTACTCGAATAGTGTAAGGTTGTTTTCGACATTCCTTACCGCGTGCTTCAACACCGCGTACATGACCAACCGTTGCTCGCCCGTTACTGTTAACGGGGCTTCGCTAACCTTTGTGCGCTGCATTTGCCAAATGCATTGCTGGCCTGTCCGAGTCGGCATACACCTCGGGACTAGCCCGAACCTTGATGCCAGCATCACACTAGCTAGCTCGCACGCACCGTGTTACTGTTTGCATTTTCGTTTTGAAGTATTATCTCATGCCTTCGCTCATACTTTGTACTCGTTTGCCAACTTTGTGCAATCCTCACTTCCTAGATACATTGCACCCGTAAAATGAATAGGCAGCCTATATAAATTCCAGAAATACTTCAGTTCTGTAGATACTCTATTTGTGGCCTTGTGAATGGGCAAATTGATCGCCTCCATGATTGGACGGACACCATTTCCAGCCGCCAACCACAAGTATGTGCTTTGCCAACTCGTCTGATTCGATTGG